CGTAGACAAGTAGCCAAACTTCTTGACATATCGCATATGAATCTCTGCATTTGGTCGCTTAAAGAAGGCTGTTTTGAAGTAGTTTTCTCGATTCCTGAAGTTACGTATAAGAATTGCTTAAGGGCATTGGAAAACATGACCTTATGAGCCATTAGGACTGAAATTCAAATCAGTGCATTACTCAGATGTAGATGTTCATGTACATGTAAGTCAATAAAGAATGGCAATAAAATTAATATATTTATCAATAGACTTTGAGTGCTAAATCTGATGAGGAAGATATATCATTCCCTGATACAAAAGGTTAGATACATGTACTAACGTAATGACTCCTGGCTATTATGATAACAGTTTAACATACTACATGTACATGTACACTGTATATGCTAAAGATTGTTTCTTTACTATTAAAAGAACAGGAACATATTGAAAATCGTTTAATATACATGTACATCAGTTACATGTAATAACAGCATGTATCATAGTATTAATACTTAAATCTTACTACCTTTGTAGAACAAACTATCAGTTACCCAACTGATAAAGTACAAGTCTTATCTTTACTTGTGAATCACACAGGAAAGGGTAAGCAGGAGAGAGTAAAACTGTGAATACTGATTAAAATCATTATGTGGCAGCTACATGTACATGTAGCTCATTGTTACTAATATACATGTACATGTACATACGTACATGTTAATATAATTCTTTAAATGCACACATTATTAAAGAACAGAACATGCATGTAAACAAAGGTACATTGTACATGTATTTTGTATAGTAAAAAATTAAAAGGCTAAGCTTTGTACCAAGTGCCAGTAAAGAGGGGCTTAGTCACTGCATTTGATACTATTCAATACTAAACAATAGTTACTAATTCAATAGTTACTAACTGTGTAGTATTTTTATCTTCGAAGGTTTGAAATTTAGTAAACTCCCTAACGGTTAAATTTTGTTTATGCCTGACAAAGAAATGATACACAATATCAATCAACAACATTAAGCATGTTCTCATTACTCTTTGATTTAAAATAACATTTTGACAACAACAGCAACAAGTCCATAAACATACATGCATGTACATGTACATAATGCACTTCCCCTACTCATGCACTGTGAACTTAATGTAGCTGTGGTATCTAACAGATTGTGCATTATATTTGTAAACTACAGAAAAACATGTCGGGCATCAAAACAAGAAACTATTAGGAAAAAACACTAGCTAAACACGAAATGATTGTATGCACATCTGACAGGTGCAACTATGCAGCCAATATAATGTGTTTATGATGACTGCACATCAATGTAATGACATATACATGTACGTGTACATGTAATTATAGTAATAAGTATAATCAATATTAATAGGTGAAACCAAAAGCAACAACATCATAACTTATGATACACTATGCACACCTGAATAATTAAAGCATCAATTATGGGGTGTATAGCATTGCTAAGTGATAAACTTAAATTGTAGTATCTCTGTAAAACAAATGATCAGTGAGCCAACTGATACAATAAAAGTACCAGTGAATTACACAGAAAACAGTAAGCAGGAGAGTGTAAGACAATAAACATTGCAATTGGGGGGGAGGGAGGGGGCATGTACACGTACATGTAACTGACAGCAGTGAAATGTGCAACTATTTAAAACATGAAGTCAATATAATAATTGTGTAATGACATATACATGTACATGTACATGCAAGTATAATAACAAGTATGATTAATAGGTCAAACCAAAAGCAAAAACAACATACATGTAACTGATGATACACTATGGACACCTGAAACATCTGATGGAGCAAGAAAGCAACGATTGTGTTCAAATAATTACAAAGACGAAGATAACCCTTTTGATATCATAGGAACAGATTTATCAGACAGAATGAGTGAACAAAATGAGGTAGACATTGAACTGGACTATATTGTACAGTCAGGTACTTATTAGTTAATTAATATAATATCTATTAATATTCTCCTAAGGTCGCATAAGAGGAAAACGGCCACGCTCGCTTTCATCGGAATTTGTTGAGTCAAACAATTTTGGATGTCCAAATTTAAAAAGACAAAAAAAGGAATAATGACGTACATGTAATCACTGTTACACGTACTGTGTATCTCAATTAGTGTACATCATTAATATTATCATTAGTGTTGTTATTTATCAATAGTGTTGTTAAGTTGTCCATGTATTTGAATGAACTCATAAAAAATAGAATTTTATTTGTGGGTTAGTGGCTTACCACAAAATACAAACCAAAAATTAATGAAGTGTCCATTCATTAGGCTTCAACTATTGTCATTAAAAAGTTCCCTTTACTTAAGACACAAGGTAAATACTCAGGACAGATATGTGAGCAAGATCTTATTAATAAATAAGTACCACCAAGGTATAATGCTAACTGCACTGTGTAGAAAAATGGTCACATGACTCATACAGTTGAGTAATGTAGCATTTCTGACATTGTGTAGGTTACAATATTAATAATAACTACAATAAACACACAGGAAATCAAAATGGCCCCACAAAATTTCCAAAAATTAAGGTGCATACACTCGACCTGTAATTAAAAATAGTTTGCTTAGGTTTCAGAGAAACATGCAGTTGGTATTATTTCTTTAACTCTGGAGAAATGCCTTGTGTGAAGTCTGTGAACTAACTTGAGTTACCTCAAAAAGGTGCATAAACTACAAAGGATTAAATTAATTAATTAAGCTACATGCCATAGCAAGCGATTTTAATTTTTTCAACAGACATACAGCATATTGTCTATACATACAGTAAATGTAGGAGGACCTCTGCTTATGTTGTTCATGCCTAACTGCTGCAGAGTAGCAATTATAATAATTGGTATTGTAAAGTTAATTCTTCATGAGAACATGCTGTCTGGAACAACTTAGGAACTTTGACAAAACAAAAAATCAAGATCTACATGTGCCACCTGTGAGCTATGTAGATCTTGACTTTGTGGCAAGGATTTAATCAAAACAAGCATTTCCAAATTCTATAGTGACCCCTGGCATGAGAAAATCTGCCACCTGCTAGCAAAAAACACTAATTAAGTTATGGTAACGTCTTGCAGCTTATGTAGGATTTCACTTTTAGTTTGGGATTTTCAGTTATAAACAAATACTGTAGTTCATTAGCAAAATGTTAAAGTAGCTTGTAACGTCTTAAAATACATGTAGCTCAAAAATGACACCTCTATTTCAAAATATGTGCACGTGTACATGTCAACACATCCCTTGCAATTATAATATGCTGAAGTCAAAATACATACATGTACTTGTATACATGTACATGTACATTGTATGAAACATTTATAGCCCTTGATAAAAAGGAGCCCTACCATATGTCATAACAAAATTTTCAGGCCTCGAACTTTCTTGCTAGAGACAATACCTATGGCTTCTGTCAACTTCTGTCAAATTGGTATTATGCTCCTACACACTGTCTGAATGCTATGTAGCTGCAACAACAATGACAAGTTACATGTACAATATTAGCATTAAACATTCAAAGGGTTTCATCATTTTTACTAATTTTTAAAAAAGCAATGAAATGCCACAAACTTTTCAAAATGCAGGAGCTACAATAAAGATAAGAAATGATAAACCAATTCAATTCACGCAATAAATTTACACGTAATTACAAAGAGTATCATACTGTGCAGATTGGTAACATACATGTACATGTGTAATTCCAGGTCACAAAATGGGATCAGAGGGAAACTAGTGTATTGTTACTAACAATAACAAAATTTAATAAAAAACAGTTATAAATCAAGTTACTAATGCAGCCCATTAATTAAAAGCAATATTGAAATAATAAAGGCAGTGAAATGTTTCACTTATACAGTAATACAGACCAGGAACTTTTCATTTAAAATTTTCATTTAAATTCATGTCAACTATCAAGTTGCATGTGATAATGTATAAAAGCAGGTTTACGATATGACGTTAGGCCAAAGTACCGTCAATTTTTAATCAAAAGCATGGGCGATTTGACCTTTCAACGCATGTTTTTTGCTAGAATGGAACCAGATTCTATTGCAGAGTCAATGTAATATCAGGGCTAGTGTAATATTGTAAACCAGCCTTTACATATGCCATGCATGAACAATGTTAACAGGGATACATGAAAACATTATGTCACACAAAAAACAGCCATACATGTATATGTGTATGTAAACTAGTAAAAGTAACAATTGGTAAAATAGTATTATTAAGACAGTTTCTAAAAAAATAAAAATTGGCTGGCAAAAAAACAATTGTGCTTAGACAATAATCACAAAATAATTTAAAGAAAACTGGCTCAATCAGACAG